TGAGTGGACCAAGATGGGGAAAAAGAAATGTGAAAACAGAAACAAATGAAAGTAACTCTAAGTCAATAATAGAACCCATAGAGAAAATAATTCCAAGTTACGTAACCCAAACATAGTTCTCTACCGTACATCTTTAGGGGGATGTATTCTAAGGATAGTACAAACCAAAAGGAAATTTAAACATTATTTAAGAGGTTTTTGTTAGTGATCATGTTGATGTTGTAAGTCTGAAACTCTTACGTATCCTGGAGGATAAAACAAATGAGTACAAATATTAATGTTACCAGGAACCAAAACATTTAGGCTTTGGCCTGGGCAGCTGGGGGGGACAGTTCTGCTGTTTTCTGGGGTGAGGGGGGACATGTTCGAGGACGACTATTAAGAGTTCCGTCATATACCTGTGAATCATAACCGCAGACATTTATTGAGTTCTTACCACATCAGGCATCCTTGACATAGATTCTATGTAGTGCAAGAAGGTAAGATACTAACGTTACTGGTACAGTTTTTAAAGTGAGGAAACCAAAGTTCTAGCAGAGGTACTGACTGTCCTGACTCTTTAGCAGCCCCTTTGGGGATCCTGGCCAGGCTTTCTCTACCCAGGAGTCCTCAGAGCTCTGTTCCTAGAAATCTTAGCACCTCAGCAGAAGCTGAGGGTAGATTCCAAACTAACAACATCCTCGCCAGTCTGGCCTCAGACCAGGTTGCTGATCTTTCCAGTGTCTCCCTTCTGTGTACCCTGTATTGTATGACCAAACTGGATTCTTCTTCCCGGTTCCTTGTTCAGTTTTCTGCCTCCATGTCTGTGCTCCCGTCCCATCTCCCAAATTCCCACTGTTAAAATCTGAGCCGCTGTAGCTCTAAGCCCAGCATGGTGTGTCTTTCTTCCTGCAGGAAGCCAGGGCAGAGGGCAGGAAAGTGGCTTCTAGACCTAGAGCAGCTCACTGGGATGAGCGTACCTGGTGCGTGTTAAGGGACGCAGGGACTCAGCTACAAGTTGTTTGGGGCCAGACCTTGGTATCTGAGGGGACCTTGGCGGTCTCCAGGTGATCACCCATAGGCCCTAGAGAATGGGGGCTGGCAGAAGGAAAAATCTTGATTCAGATGCAGTAGGACAGGGAAAACATCAGCAGGGGAGGGGGGCTGGCAGTGCAGAGCCTCTGATCCTCAGTTACAAGCTGCATGGTTGGAAGGTCCATAAGGGGTCACTGAAGTGTTTGTTTCACCTAGTCTGTAAGAATGGTGTTGCAGAAGATACATGTTCCCACTAAACTTCCTTTTTTTTGTTTTAAGTTTATTCATTTTTGAAAGGGGGGAGGGGCAGAGGGAGAAGGAAGCACAGAATCTGAAGCAGGCTCCAGGCTCTGAGCTGTCAGCACAGAGCCCGATATGGGGCTTGAACCCATGAACCACAAGATCATGACCTGAGCCAAAGTTGGATGCTTAACCAACTGAGCCACCCAGGCATCCCTTCCACTGAACTTCCTTTGGTGCATTTGTCAGAGATTAAACACAAGGCTGAATCAGTCAACTATTTTATTTCTATTTCTATTTTATTTTATTTTATTTTATTTTATTTTATTTTATTTTATTTTATTTTATTTTACTTTATTTTATTTACTCAGGTAATCACTATCTTCTTCTTTGGAAAAGTTAAAAGCTTGAACTATCGTCTCAGGCATTCCTGTCTTTGAATCATGGTGCTGCCTACTAGTTCTGTGACTGACTGTCACCCTTCAGAGTATCATTTTCCTCCTCTGTAAAATGAGAGGAGTAATGTTAATAATAATACCTGCCTCACTGGTTTGTGATAGGGTTCAGTAAGCTAATACACCTAAAATACTGAGAGCAGAGCTGGAAAGGAGTTCCTTTTCAGAGAACGGTGGCCAACATCATTCCCCACGTGTGTCTCCGAGCTCTTCATCAGAGTTCTCCTGTCTCCAGAAAAGCCATAGACTCAGGGCACCCTGCTCATCCTGTCCCTGGTACAGTTCCCTAGGCAGGGAGCCCCTGGGGGTGCTTCAGTATATTGTATTTCTGGCAGGGGTAGCTGTCTCAGGCAGCCCTCAGTAATGCATCCCCCGTGCTACTGACCTGGGCATGTTGACTGCGGCAAGTGAGGACTTATGGGAGGACTTGTCATTGGCTAATGAATGTTTTGAAACCAAATGCCTGCAGCCCAGGCCCAGGCAATGTAGTGGAGGACTGAAGGATTTATGTGCTGGGGGGCTATTACATCTTGTTCCCTCACTCTGCTGAGGAGAAAACAAGAGCAGAGAGGCTTAATGCCCAGGAGAGATTTAGATGAATAGGTTAGAACCCCATTTCTCAAAGCAAGCTCCATGGAGCTCTTGCACCAAGACCGCATAAGGTCTGCACAAAAAGTCTCTAAGGAAATTATTAATGCCCTGACTTGCCATTATACAGGGACAGTGGGCAGTATGGTCAGGGAGAGAGAAATTGACTATTAGGACTTCTTGATCCTGGATTTTCTGACACTGAGTACCTGAGAAGACTTCGAACACCTCTGAATTGTGCAGGTAGATCCAGAGCATTTGGAGGCTGGACAGACAGGCATCCATATGCAGGCCGCTGGTTCTCCACTCCACCCCTAGAAAGTGCAGCTCATCCAGAGGCACAACACACGATTCCCATAGACCTCTCAAGAAGCTCCCGTAATAGAGAAACCAATAGAGGGAACTTTATCCCTCTGTGTAACCTAGGCCAAGTCCCTCCCCACTTTGGCCTCAGTGTCCTTGTCTGTACAGTGGGGAGGTGGGACAGAATGTCTTAAGGATCTCCCCTGGCTGTGTCATCTTAACAGTGAATCACTGATTCCTGGCAGTTAGGGGCCAGGCTCTCCCTCGACTGCAGTCTCTTCCTTCCCAGCGCTCAGTCTGGAGCTTGCCGTTCAGAAGAAGCCTGTGCCTCACACAGTGACTTTGCACACAGCATGTTTTCTTCCCTCTGTGGCCGGGTACTCCCCTCCTTTCTGGCCTGCCAGAACTTACCTACTTAGCTCTGGCTGCGAGCAGTGATAATGGAAGAGCAGCTAACCATCAATGCCAGCCGTGGGTCAGGCGTTCATTTCCTCATCCTTCCTCAGATTGCCCATTGTGCAGAGGACTCACTCTGGCCTGGTCAAGCTCTTCAATCCATTCCATGTGTCTTTGCCACTATTCTCACTGACCGATGCCCAATCCCCCGCCCCGGCCCCCGCGCCCCGGCACCATGCACCCCACCTTTATCCAAATCCTCCACGTTGGTTCATGTCCAGCTCAGATTCTGTCTGTCCATGAGGCGTCACTGTTCCTTGACCTCCATCAGCCACAGTGTCTCTCTTTGAGCTACATCGCCCTTTTTCTTGCTTCTCTGATGACCCTTACACATTCTACCTAGTATTATGGGACTTTGTATATAGATCTGTGTCCTCATCGGCCCACAAGCACGTGGATTGCTGAGACCGTATCTTGTACGTCACACACTAGTAAGGTCCTGTATGCAAGACCCAGGTTTCCTCCTGACCAAGGCCAGGAAGAAGCCCTTCCAGCAAGACGGGAGGCATTCACAGCGACTTCTCAAACCCATTTTAGTCTTTGTAGCTCCACATGTGAGTTCATCACCCTAACAGAAGAGTACCCTTGGATGCCTGGGTTCATGTAGGACCCTAGGGAGGGATTTTCCAGAATTTCCACTTGTCATCTTTATTCATGCAGTGAATCTTTATTGCTGAGAGACTCTAGCAAATCACTTCTCCACTCTGAACTTCCAGGTCCATCTCCAGCAGATAAAAAGTAGCTCCCGTGTGAGGGTCAAGTGCTTGTGCACATGTAAGATATTCTTTAAAGGGGGAAGACAGAGCAATCCAGGTTTACAGGCTGAGCAGGACACAGACAGGTACACAAATACTGAAATACAAGGTAGACTGTGGTAAGGGTCATCAGGGTATGAAATGCCAGGTCGGCAGCAAAGTCTAGTTTCTCACACATGGAATAGGTCTGGCAGAAGGAGCTCTGGTGCAAAGGCGCTGCGGCCGGTTAGGACAGCAGGAGCAGAGCCCATCAGTGAGGCACAGCAAGGCCTTGGTTCTGTTCCAAAGAGATTTTCCCCTCTCCGGGAGCATCTCCCCTGCCGTCCTGGGATCATATGGTCGGCCGATTAAGTATTTCACAAGTACAGGGCACCCAAGTGCCGGAGAGGAAAAGCCACACAGTCTCTGCCTTTTAGGAGTTTGTCTGAAGATACATAAACATATGAGAAGTGCTGCCAGGGAGCACGATCACCTGTGTGAGAGTTGGTTCCAGGAGTCCAGGGTGCTCTGCCGAGCCTTCAAGTGCTGAGTTTCTAACAAAAAAATGGACTATGGACACTAAAACCTATTCTACTAGGCAGAAAACAGCAAGTGGCTTAAGAGAGCTGAACCCGTTTCTCACAGTGTTCATAGGAGGATCATTTGCTGTAAGAGTCAGGCCAGTCTCTATACAGGAGGTAAGTTTGGAGCCAAACTCTGAAAAACAGCTTAGGGAGCTGGGAGGATGGCACCTTTAGAGTGACCTGGGAAGCCAAAGGAAATGACCCAGCGGACCTGCCCCAGGCAGGAATAGAGCCTTCCCAGCAGCAGAGAATAGACAATAACTTGTGAAATTGCTGTTTCTGTTTGAGAGCCTGCTAATATGCTAGAGAGGGTTTTGCATATATTATCGCTAATCCTTAAAACTCTTCAAGGTAGGCACATCCCCCACTTTATAGATGAAGAAATGAGGTTAGGAGAGGATTTGCCCAAAGCCACAAAGCTAGTTTGTGGGGGAACCAGAAGTCAGACTCATATTTGCCTGGTTCCCTTCCAAGTGTGAACCTGAGAAGAATTTCAGGAAATACAGAGGCTCCCACCCAAAACAAACCAAGATGGACCCAGAACCCCAACTGCCGTGCTTATACATCACGGGCACCACCTCTGCACACCTACTCCCAAGCTTTTCCAAATCTGGTACAAACTCCCCATTGTTCCACTTAGCTTGGCCCGCCTGGTGCCCCACCCCCTACCTCCTCCATCCCAGTTCACTCACACCTAAAAAATGATCTCCCAATCCCTGCTTTTCCTCTAGCAGAAGGCCCGAGACATGTATGCAGAGGAGCGGAAGAGGCAGCAGCTGGAGAGGGACCAGGCCGCAGTGACAGAGCAGCTGCTGCAAGAGGGGCTCCAGGCCAGTGGGGACGCCCAGCTCCGACGGACTCGCTTGCACAAACTCTCAGCCAGACGGGAAGAGCGGGTCCAAGGCTTCCTGCAGGCCTTGGAACTCAAGCGGGCTGACTGGCTGGCACGTCTGGGCACTGCATCAGCCTGAGTGGGGCTGGCCTCCTGCCACTTTGCCCTGCCCTCTGCCTCCAGGGCCCCACTCCCCTTTCTTTTCTTGGTGAAAGGCACCTCCTTCCTAAGGATGAACTGTGTTTCCTTTACTTTGCAAGGGAGCCCCAGAGGCCAGGTCTGCTGGCCAGAGATACACCTTCTGGGCCGCCCGGGACAGTGGCCCCTGGGGAGGACTGAGGGGATGGCCTCCCACAAGTACACTAAACCCAGCTCTGGTCACCTGTAGCTTTGGAGAGCAGGGAGCCCCAGTTCTTCGCTGCCCTCTCCTTCCGCCTCTACCACCTCTACCTGTGTTCTAGATGCATTTCACTTTTCCACCAGCACATCCTTCAACATAACAGAATTTCAGGGAGGAGGTCTCCCCAAAACCCTGGCCCTTTACCCATCCATCTTAGCCTTCCACCCGACTTTCACAAAAGATTTGGCCCCACCTTGGATCTGCTGGTAAATAGCTAATAGGCAGCCAGCGTTATTTGGGCAAGGGAGGGGAGGGAGAGACAGAAAGAAAATTTGCCCATCTGCTGCTCCTCCCCCTGGGCTCTCCACCTGGGATTTGCTATTGAATCTCTACCCCCTCCCACCACACAGTGCTGATTGCTCACTGAAAGGCTCAGCGCCCCCAATGGCGCGCAGAAGCCAGGCGGGTGATTACAATCCAATTACCTATTGTCGACTCAGCCCACACAAGCTTTTCTCCTCCTCTTGCAGGGCACGGGGCCAGGCTCCACGCCCCTGTGCGACCAGCCCCCTTCATGGCCACAGGGTAACAGGAGGGCCTCTAGGCCCTGGTGAATCTAATCCACCACAGGCCTCCTTCCCCGGAACACCTCACAGGACCCGGAGCAAAGGAACAAGCACTTCTCCCAACTGACTGACGCCTGTCCTCACCATCCCAGACTCTGCTTCCCACCGCCTCAGCCTTTGAGGCTTCTCTGTTTTGGACCTGGCCCCTTAAGTCCCCCCGAGACGATTTATTCTCCGTGTGGCAGAGTCTCAGCTTGTTAGGGCCAGGGCTGCCCAGCAGGGAGAAGGCCAAGTCAAGGGCTGTGTCCTCTCCCTGCCAGGCCTTGCTTCGGAGCTGCTGAGAGGATTAGTGCCTTTGAAGAGCTGTCTGCCTGAGCAACTCTGCTTCAGGTGCCTGGAGCAGCAAGCACCAGCCTTTAACACCGACCAAACACCACTCCGTTTAGCCTTCCCATTTCACTTTCTGCGAACTGTTTCCCCAGCACCTCCCTCTAGGGGAGAGGTGGGGTCTTGCAAGCAGTGCTCAGAGCATAGTCTTTAACCCCCCACTGCCCTGTATTCCAGTCTCCTCTTCCCCTTCCTGTGCCAGTATACCTGGCACAAGAGACCCCTTGGCCATCATCCCTGCTCCCAGAATCAAACAAATGCCAGACACTGCGATTGAGAAGCCAATCAATGCACCCTTTGGCAAGCCCCCCACACACACCTGGCATTCCCCACAACCAATCCCTGGCACAGGGTTCCCAGAGAGCAGGTGCTGTACATTTTCCAGCTTTACAATGGGGCTGTTGACAGCCTTAATTAGGGAGGCATGAATTATGCGGCTATAATGCAGAGCCCTACAATTAAGGCGGGAATGAGGGGCTGGAGGCAACAAACGGAATCTGCCCAGTGAGCATGGCTATTGAGTCCTGTCTCCGTTCTGTGTCTGACTTGCCCCAATATGAATGGGGTACAGATGATTAACGGAGCTGGTATCTCTTTGGCCTTAGGTCCTGTATTCTGAGAAAGATACACAGAGTGGGATGGGTAGGGGTGGAGGGATCACCACTGCCAAGGAGCAGGGGCTGCAAACAGTTGATATGAACTCATTGTGATTGTTTTCTACCGGTAGGATTTGTACAAACCGGCTCATCCTTTGCCTCAAGAAACTAAGTGGGACCTATTTAAATGTCTCACCTGTGAGCCAATCCCCCACTTGAGGATATTTATTGTGTTCTCGTGTTCTCCTGGGTTTCAAATAGAATTTTAAAAATTCTTAGATGTATAACTTGTTTACAAATAGTACAGCAGAGGGAACACCTTGTTTTGCGGCTGCAATGGCCTGCCCTCTCGCAGGTGCGCTTGGCGACCTCCGGAATCCTCAGCTTTGGGGGCGCATGGGGTGGGGGAGCCAGTGGAAGAGCCCTTTGCCATCGCAACACCTGTTCCTCTACTTGTTTCCTAATCCCCGGACTCTCTCCTCCACCCTCCTTGTCCTCGCGCAAGTGAGAGGAAGCCAGCCTGCCAGTGTGGAAGGAGGGATTTCGCCAGCTGTGTTTGCAGCGCCCAGGCTTGGTGGCCGCGTCGGGTGGGGGCAGCTGAGCTTGATGTCTCCGGAGCGGGTGGAGCATAGGGGGAGGGGAGTGCTGGTAGGCCTAGGCGGCTGCTTTCCGTCATTCTG